GTACTCTTTTTAGGTCATATTTGACATATTTTTGGGTCATAAGTGCATGCATATATTTATAGTTTTTAGGTCATAAAAATCCGGGCCCTAGTCATAACCTTTCTTTCACATGAAACACCTCTTTAACCAAAAGCATTGAACATCGTGAACTGTAACATACATGGAATACTTGTAATTAGGAAAGCTGAAGGTGGGGAAACTTGAAAGAAAATTCTGTTTCAATCAGAGATACGCATATTAGCCTCATAATTTCCTCATAACTTTCACTTGAAAACCACAAAGAACACAGTTTTCCGGTTATAGTTAAGTATTATAAATCATATTGTCGCGTGTCTTGGGTTCGAATCTTGCCGGTCACGTGTGTAAGTTCTATCCCACTTCTGACACCAATGTCACGCTACAAATAAGTTCACGTCGTCCTTTGATATAGCGAGTTTATTCTTTTCGCTCGTTTACACACAGTTTACAATCATCACAACTTGCAGTGTTACAATCCCACTTCTTACAATATTCGGCGAGACACTGGACTCTCTTCTCTGCCGGTTATTCCAAGACTTGATTCTTAGACGGCTGCTATCCCAAGACTTTCTTCTCCGAAGGCTTGATAACAGCTGGCTTCTTAGCTGGCTCGATGAAGACTGAAGATTTCACGTGGAAGCTGGGCTTTTATAACCTCGCCGCTGCTAGGCAAATGGACCCTCTGTTATAACCATGGAGACGTTGCTTTGTTTGTTCAGCGTTTCCTATGCAATGACCCATTGTTATTGCGTTATCTCTGTGGGAACGCTATGCTTGTTTGTCGTAACCCTGGAGATTCGATGTTCTCGATACAACGGCTCACTGTTGGAATTACAGTATCGCTATTGTTACTTCTTATGCAACGGTCTGTTCTAGCGTTTCCATAGAAGTGACTTCTGGATTCCAGACACGTTACAATATATTGTAAGAAACAATACTCATGTCCCCATTTATTATTTTCATTAGAATGATGGAATTCGAGAATGTGAAATACACCCGTCAACAAGATTAAGACTGCATTTAATGATATAAGAAAATCTGATATATTCATCTTCACCAGTTCAGTACTGGGCAGAACAATATGGCAGAAATAATAACATATCTTAAAGAAATATAATGAATACTGAAAA